TAACCTGTGCCTGTACACAAATCAGCCTGTCAGCCTGAATGAAAATAACCTGTATGGTGTCACAGTTCTGTAGAATTATTTGTTTTTTGTTCTTGCCTGCTGCAGGCGCTTCTGGGTGAGCACTGCACCGTCGGCGAGCATGAACTCCAGCGTCAGTAGCACAAGCAGTGGCAGCAGCGGTAGCAGTGCAAGCACTGGCAACAGCGCTGCCCCTGGCCTCCCCGCTCACCCGATAAACCCGGCACAGAGAGCTGTCACCAGCCAGACCAGCAGTGGTAGCTCGGGCAGCAGCAGCAGCAGCAGCAGTGGTTCAAGTGGCGGCAGTAATGGTGCAATTCCTCCTGGTGGAGGCCGGGTGCAGGAGCGATCCGTCATGGGCGTTATCGTGCGCAAGGGTAGCAATGATCATAAGGTATGTGCTGTGCGTGGGTGTGTGTCTGTGTCTGTATCTGTGTGTGTGTGTGTGTGTGTTTGTGTGTGTGTGTGTGTGTGTGTGTGTGTGCGTGCGCGCGCGCGTACATGCGTGTGCGTTGTGGTCCGGTGCCTGTGTGTGCGTGTGTTCCTGTTCTGAAGGTATAATTATACATTTGTGCTTGAGTTCCGAAGGTACTTGTGTTTGTGTTTGTGTTCCAGTGCCTTTGCGCTTCCTCTTCCTCTGTTTCTTGTATTACTTGCCTTCCGTTTCTGTCCTGAACATTTTCTCTCTTTCTCCCTCTCATCTCTCCCTCTCTCTCTCTCTCTCTCTCTCTCTCTCTCTCTCTCTCTCTCTCTCTCTCTCTCTCTCTCTCTTTCTCTCTCTCTCTCTCTCTCTCTCTCTCTCTCTCTCTCTCTCTCTCCGTGTACAGAAGGTATGTCATCTGTTTGCACCACGTGATGACAACTACCAAGCCATTGTTGTCGTAGAGACGATTCAAGCGCAGATGGCCATGTATGAATCACTGAAGCCGATTCCGTCTACCTGATCAATGCACGACTTCATGATCAATGCACGGCTTCATCACAATCTCTATCTGATCAGTTCATGACATCATCAGATTATCCACGTGATCAATGCATGACATCATCAGGGCATCCACCTGAGCCACGATATCCACCTGATCAATTTATGACGTCATCAAGACGTCTACCACTTGTCCATGAATGCGGCTTTCACGCATCCCAAGGCCTATGCCTCCGAAGGTGAAGGTGACACGTTAGTTTATTTGAGTGTTACGTGCACCGATACCGATATCTTGCCTCCGAAGATGATAACTTGATACCTAATGACCCAGTGGAGGAGACATGCGTGCTGCCCAGGTGACCCATGCTTCAGCGATCCTCTTCTCATTGGCCCGCGTCATCGATACGCCAAATCTACCATTCCCTCCGTATGATGTTCTCGTTCCGATGATCTGGTCGCTAGCTCTGCACGCATACCGGTATGTCTGCATGTGTAGCTGCCGCGAGAAGATGTCACAGGAGGAAATTGTTGACTCGCGTGGCTAATCCACTGTGTGTTCTTTGGAAGCACCTCTCATCTCATCCTTGTTTACAGTAGTTCTTCACTCTGCGCAGTGTCTATCTAGAATCATAGGAACCGGTGGGCAGTCTTCGCCGCCACCCTAGTCTGTTGAATTTCACAACGTGTACCCCCCCCCCCCCCCCCCCCCCAGCTCAGCAAGGCACAGTCAGCATAGTGATCACATTCAGTGTGCAGGGAGCTTCGCATTCGGCCCACCGCTTCTTTTCCGTCGTGCAACTCGCATCGTTCACGCAACTCCTCTTGGTGTCCGTCGCTTTGCTCCGCATGTAGTTGACCGTTCTCCGTGTTTCGCCTGGGATAACGTTGAACTAAACATTGCCGAGCTGTCAGAGTCATTTCTCAGTGTTGTTTTATTTTTGTATTTATGTTGACATACTAACATTGGCGGGAGTGCCCGCATGCGAATGCGTTGCTCCGTCTGTTTTGTCTTATGTTTCCTATGTGTGTGCGAGCATACGCATTGTACATATTCATTATTTATGCATGCTCATAGGATCGCTCGCCCCATTCCTGTGCTGCCAGGACAAGCTTTGGCACAAGCGAACGCAAAGTGAGCGTATCAGTTCTCTACATGTGCGCGCCTTCTGGCCACCTGGTGTGTGCCTAGCTGGGCGCAGAACTTGTTCTTCTGGTCGCGAGCCTATCCTATGAACCTAACCATGGCACACATGTTTAACATCTCCATTTCATTATTCACATTCCTAACGGTTCTGGCGCAACAGCGAAATTAACAGCATGTACTATGTTCCGTCTCGTCACCTGCTCTGACTAGTGTTTTCAATTTTTCAATCTGACCTTTTTACCTTCTTTTTCCTTCGCATGCACTTGCTTCAGGCTCCTGCGCAAGACAACCAGTATGTTTATCATATTCACACAACCATCCTCTACTCCCCCCCCCCCCCTCCCTCCCACATTCACTTCACCCACAGAGCGTGTTTATTTTCTGTCACTTTTTCACACATAACTATTACTTGCCTGCAAGTACATGTACATGTACGCACATTTCAAACATATCCCAATTTATTTAGTAGGTCTATGCCGTGTTGTTATCTTTTTGTTCCGGTTTCGCATCTGGTTTTTAGCTGTTCCGGTTTCGCATCTGGTTTTTAGCTGTTCGTCCCACCACTGTGCATAGCATTCGGTTTGCGTCAGATCAGACATACTGCTCTTGCTCTCTGTACAGTTTCGCATGGTTTGTTTGAGTTAGGGCTCAAACGGTCACGGTTTTACCCCTGACGGCTAACTGCTAAGCTAACGGTCGGTTAACCGGTTATAACCTATAAGCCACGGCAATCCTGCGGACTCTTTTTTAACCGTATATTTGACTATACTCATTCAAAAAATGTACCCTATTCAGTACAACGCACACTTGTACATTCTCTTGCATGCTCATTCATACATACTCTCACACCAAGAGACCAGATATGACCGAGTTGACAGCCCAGAAATTGCGTACGCGTGCGACAGCCCGCGAAAGTGCACACTTTGCAACGACCTGATACTTGAAAAATTGACTGAAAAGTTACTGCGTAACCGTTATCTTTATCGGTTAACCGTTAATTCTTCGTAACCGGTCTGCAACCGGTTAATCGGACTAATCGTTTGAGCCCTAGTTTGAGTGTACGATAACTGTTGGACGCTAGCCTATGGATATGTTTACAGCGGTCTAAGGCTGCGTTCGTTTTTAACTACCTGGTAGAGTAGAGTCACTCTACCGATAGAGGTAGATGGTAGAGGCAATTGCACGAACGCTATTTTACCGGATTTAGTAGTTTACACGATATGTACGTGAAATGTTTCTCGTCTGTATGGAGTTGTGTACAAATCCTTGATCTTGCTGGAAATCCCGTAGCTCTACCAACTTCTACCGGATTCTACCAACTTTTTTCCTGGTAGAGCCGGTAGAGGAAAGTACAATCTACCCTTTTGAGTAGAGTTTTTTTCAAAAAAACGAACACCTCTACCGAAAGAAGTAGTTTCTACCCAAACATGTAGATCAAAAACGAACGCCCCCCTACAGCTTGTTTATGCTTGTGTGATGTATGAGATGTGTTTGCTGGGGCATACTAGTAGCAGCCGGTCCGGCCGGACCACTTTTTCGCCCGACCACGTTTTTTGCACCCTACTTTCAAAGATTTCCCGGGGGGGGGGAAGAGCCCCGACCCCCTCCGGCCGGACCAGCTCCAACGGCGGTGCTACGTGCCTGGTGTGTCCGTAACTACAGCCACTGTCTCTGACTTTACTCGGCGGCATCCTATCGGTGCTGTGAACCAGTCCAATGAAACCTGCTCAGATGTCACATTCAAATTTCCATCCTACCGACATGGAGTCTGTTGTATTATTTATCCATGTCTGTGGACAATTTTCCGTCTGTTCCTTTTTTAACTTTTTTTTAACTCCGTACGTGAGTGGGATTACTCATGTGTTTGATTCCTTTGGGTGTGTGATTCCTTTGGACTTTCTGAAGTTTCTTTGCATCGGCATCAATTGTTTGATGCAACCAGAATAACAACTCTCTCTCTTCTTGAATGTGTGTGCGTGTGTGTGTGTGTGTGTGTGCTACATCGCCTTCGGTGATGGGCTTTCCAAAGGTCCAAAGTTGTGTGGGTGTTGGAGTGCACGCACGCGCTGTAATGCGCTGTCAAGCCAGCAGGCTTTTTCATAATGTTTTTTCTAGTTCCCAAGAACATGTAACTCCCCGGTGTGTGCAACTACAGTGCTGCTTTAAGTTGTGCCCTGCATGCACGAGTTCACATCCCAGTGCAGTGTCTGCAGATCTACAAGGGCTGAACTAGGATCAGGGAGCACACACACACACACACTCACACACACACACACACACACACACACACACACACACACACACACACACACACACACACACACACACACACACACACACACACACACACACACACACACACACACACACACACACACACACACATGTACGTCCGAGTCTTCGCTATACAGCAGGAGGGTATAGCAGTTGCACCATCCTAATTACTGCACAAGTACATGCACACATGAATCAGCACAATCGTGTGTGTGTGTGTGTGTGTGTGTGTGTGTGTGTGTGTGTGTGTGTGTGTGTGTGTGTGTGTGTGTGTGTGTGTGTGTACAGCACATGCATGCACTCGTGTCCAGGTGAGGCCACTAGCTACAGGTCCGGAGCTACGCGAAGAAGGAACACAGACTGGCACCTACAATCCAGCGTGGCATCATAATCTGGTTCTGGCTCATCTCGCTGATAGCGCGTCTCTCCGCATGCTGCACACACGCGCACACAGGGTCGCCTTCAGTCCTTCAAGCACCTGTCGTCCCAGTCGGGGAACCAGCGATCGCGTATACGCTGCGTGTAGTCGCGCACGTTGAGCAGCTCGGTGGTGAGCAGAGTGTGAGCGGCACTACCCTCACCACTGTACAGCACGGTGGCAGTCGTGCCAAAGACGGTGGCATCGTGCGACGTGGCCGTCTCACCCAGCAGGTAGGGCTTGTCGCCGAGAATCGTCGACAGGCTGCGGAAGTCCCTCTCGGCGATCTGGTTGATCTCGGCGACGCTGTGCCGTCCCATGCCCTGTGCGTAGCAGGACTTCTCCACCTTCGGCGCAATCATGTAGCGCAGGAACAGGCGCATCACAGTCCCGGGCGAGTTGACGAAGAGATCGGGCAACTGGCGAACGTTTTGCACCCACCGATAGTGTACTATAGCCCTGCATGGTGAAGATGAGAACATGGACATAGGAAAAGTAGATAGATTGAACGTGGAGATTGACTGAGTGATGGCAACTGATCAGAAGTTTACGTAGCAGCCCTGCTCCGCAAGCCAGAATCCCGGACTGTCTCCCTGGTGGCAATGCAGCCCCAGCCCCGTACACTGAGCTACCCTATTGGGGCCGAACTCGAATCGGTGCATCCCATCATGTACAAAAGAAGCTGGATGATCGTGTAGCCATTGCCTTTATCTTTCGTGCCCACATACCACTTCTAAAGCATGCTGAATGATACGCACTCGCAATAGGAATGTGAGAAGTAATTTTGAGGCATCTTGCAGCTTCATCCGTAGAGAGCAGTTGGGTGGACACACCCATTCCCAAAGCAATGCAAACCGAACCAATTCCTTTACGCACAACGTTTCGGCAAAATCGCTATCGTCAGGTACGAAATAATAGGAATGCACAAAGCCAATTTATATTCCACACACGAGGCGACAAATGGCTAGGCGTTTATTCAATTTCAACAACTCTTCTGGTCTGGGGCATTGCAACCAGCGCGGCTTTATTTTCGGATTATTTGGGCCCAATTTCCCCCAAAAAATGTTCGTATTGTCGCATACACCATCAGGGGCGTCGGAAGGTATATTCCACATTGGTGCAGCGCCGGGGGGGGGGGGGGGGTCCGGGGTCGGTCCCGGTAACGCCCACTTACCAGTATGTGTTCTCCTCCAGCATCTGGCACGTCACGTGACCCACTGCTTTCTGAGACTCATCCAAGCCACTGTCACACTTCAGCTGCAGCTCTTTGATCAGAAAATCTACTACGAAATCCGAATCACTGATCACCTGACCGTTGTACGCGATGAAGGGGGATTTTCCCTTCGGCCCAGTGCGTCGAGTTGATACGGTCTTGTAATTGATTTCATTCATCCGCAGGAACGTCTCCAGCTTCAGGCAGAACGGCGAAGCATTCGGGGAGCTTGGAATCGGTGGAAACTGGAACAAGAAAACAACACCTTTCTCCTTGTGTTTCTCGCTCAATTTGAACTGCGAACTACGTGATCGGCGCATCAGGTAAACGCCAGCTAATAGCACAACTGCGCCGCCACCCAGGGCCAGAGGCAGCCAAGGAATACCAGTCAAGCTGCTCAAATACTCCATGGCCATCACTGCAAGAAAACAACCCAAGATCGCCCAAAAGAGCTTCGTCCTCAACTAAAGTACCTGCACAGACTGTCAGTGCACAAACATAACAACGACAAGGACGATTTCGAAATCATTCTGTCTGTAAAATCAAACAGGCCGAGCAAAAGTCATCAACACGTGGAGTCGGCCATGGCGGCTTTCAAACGTGAAAACCCGAACCTGGTTACGTAACTGTACCATGATTATTGATTACGCAATGCCTGACTAGTTTTTTTTTTTTTTTTTTTTTTTTTTTTTTTTTTTTTTTTTTTTTTTTTTTTTTATTGAACTCAAACCATGCCTCTTGTACGGGCAAAACATAAAATAAAGACAATCAATGATTAGATCGAGCGCACGCGGTGATGATCATGTACAATGTCATTAATGACACTTGACAGATAATAATGTAAGCCTCAAGCTGAGATTCTTGCTTCAGCAACAACAAGCGCTGCCGAGTCTGAGGCCATTGCTGGTAAGAATGCCTTGCGTGCACCACGCAAGCACATCAGCGCTGAACGGACCAGTGCAAAGCCAATCTGGCAGCGGATGGCAGCTAGGGTGATGCTGTATGGCTCCCCAGTCTTGGCAGCGAGGAGAGAGGCGATGCGTTTGTAGAGCGAAGCACCATGCTTTCCCATGCCTCCGGTGGTAGAGAAGATGGCGGGGACAAAGCTGGAATGCTCCACCTCCCTCAGGCGCTGCTCATACGCACGACGCTTAGCCTTTTCATGACGGACATAGGTAGCAGCAAGTGAGTTGGAACGGTTCGAAGACGCATGGGGGTTGAATACCCGTACATCAATGTAGGTGCGTTCGAACCGTCCTCCCCAAATGCCACTAGCCACGACGTCTAGGCGTGCCTGGTCGTCAGCAATAGCAGTGCGATAACGGAGTTGCTCTCTGGAGAGTGGCTGGAGGTGTGGCTCAACTGCCACCTGATGGGCCACCCGCCTGAGCAGACGAGCAGTGAGGTCCCTCACCTCGTTGTGACGAATGGACGGAAATCCACCCGTCGGACACGAGAGGGAGTGAGACACAGTGAACTGCTGCCCACACGCACACAGTGATGGTAGCCGGACCGGCAGCCAGTTGAAGCGAAGGCAAACAGCATCCCGAAACTCCGACTTCGTCAGGGTGAAGCCATGGCGTTGAAGGGGTCGGCACGTGAGCCAGCTTGAGGCACCCGGTTCCGAAGCCAGAGCGATCACTCGCTGCAGCTCTGAACTGGCGGAGGAAGAGAAGGCCTGGGCTGCTGCGCGAATTGACTCCCCGGCTGTCGCCATCACGCGCTTCTTGGCAGCGCGAACATCATGGATGGCAGTGCCAAGAACTGGATCTTGGGCGAGAACACGGCAGGTGAGGGAGGCAGTGATGTCAAGGGAGGACTGGTGCTGTTCGGCCCGGGACGACGGATGAGGTATGCCAAGGCCTCCAAAGCGACATGGCAATGCTATCAGGGTGCGCTCCTCAGCATTGACGGGGCGACCTAGGAGAGCAGGAATGAAGGTGTTGGTGATAGCAGCATCAAGCGGAGCTAGGTGCTCAGCCATGCCAGGTTGTGCCCAATGCCTGACTAGTCGACTACAAAAATAATAATTTTTTATGGAAACAACTACCAGTATATACGTACGCGTATACCATGTATACGGTAACGCTTCCTTGCTGAACACAAGAGCTGGGAAGACAAAGGCTGCAAGCAGGAGAATAGTGGCGGCAGCTGCTTGGCAGCAATAGCTAAAGTACTTGATCAGTGATGGCAGGTGGCTTGGTCGAGCCAGCTCGGATTGGACGCGTTTGACCTTGAAGTCAAAATAAAATAAACACAGAGCCAGCTGGTGGGTGACAGGTGGTAGTCCGTGAGCCAAATCTCAGAATCGGCTGTTTTAGCATCGACCGTTGCACCCAGAGAGGGACAAATCGTCCTTCAGCACACCGCTTCAGGATGGTATCCTGAAGCGATTTCCACTTGTTGGACAATTCGAAACTGATCCAGGGAGGTCACAGAAGACGCCAAACATCCAACTTTGCTCACTGACAGCAGCGGCCATTTCGCCTTCTTCACTTGATTTTTTTGCGCTTGTTCACGGATTCTCATTTTTTGAAGCCATGAGCAGATTCCACGAGTGCACAGAACGCGGAAACCAGTGCACAGAACTAGATTTGAATTTTTTTACCGCTGAGAATTATCAATCCGGATCATGCATGCAAACTGCAGCAAAGTTACAATGCATTCGTTCAGAACTAAACTGCCTTCAAAGAATGCCCTAAATACCTCTCGAGACATTTGTTCACCACTTCCTAGGCGTAGAAGACTGTAGTGAGTAACCTTCTGGAGCGAATGGCGGACTCTGCCCCGAGCATGAACTTCTTTTCATCCTGTTCAAGGTCAAATATTACTCAGTTTGCGTTGAAGAATAACAATTATTACATTCGTGAATGGCTGAACTGAGAATACCCTAATGATTTCTCTTGGATTTCGTATCCCAAGTTCCTCTACTTGGCTGGATAAATCGCCTCTTGACTTCATCATACTGGAATTGGACTTGTAGATAATAGCGAGCAATGAATTGGTGAGTGAAGTATATTTATAATAACCACTCCATTACTGAATACATGTACGTAGAATACTCCAGTATAGAATGATATGGACACTGAAGCTAATGTGACATTACGGTAGTACAATAGGAAGTACGTCACCACTGTTGTAAATGCACGCGCTGATCCAATCCAACCTGACAGCCAATGCAAGAGGTTGGAATTGGCTATTGATTGCCTAACACACTCATACAGTACCAAAAACTATCTGTCATTGCTCATTTTCCACTCAACATAACACAGTTGGAAATCACCAGCTAGGTGCACATCTTGGCACATAATGTGTGCTATCGCAGTCCACCGCAGTACACAGTAATACACAGATAACTACCGATATAAGATAATGCCACATGCATACATACACGCATACGCGCGCACCCACACCCACACGCGTGCGCATGCGCACACACACACACACACATGAAGCAGCTGCCGAATCCGACTATGCAGTCTCCCAGACACGCGCGCACGGGCACACACACAAACCAGCTGCCGAATCCAACTATACAGTCTCTCAGGCATGCGTGCACATCCACGCACGCGCGCGTGCGCACATACACATGAACCAGCTGCCGAATCCGATTATGCAGTCTCCCAGGCACGCGTGCACGCGCGCACACACACACATGGACCAGCTGCCGAATCCGACTATGCAGTCTCCCAGGCACGCAACCCCAATGGCAATGGGAAAAGAACAGACTCCAGGAGGTCACCGGATCAGGAGGAGGACCCACCTCAGTGAGTGCAAAATGACCGATGCCCGTTGTCTGTTGTGGTCCTGCTGCCGTCAGTTGTAAATTGATCTCTCTTCACAAGATGGACAGCGACCGAACGAAGGAAAAGCAGATGTCCCTGGTGCCTGCCTGATCACCGAGGCAGAGTCCAGTAGCGGATGGGGGAGTGAAGGCAATCTAGGGATGCACGTGTGGTCGGCCAAAGCTCCTCTGCTGCGAAACCAACAACAACAGCATGTCCCGGCCGGAACACACTTCCTATCTTGTCCTGTCCTGAGCATTGCCGTTCCCGGTTACATGTCCCCTCGTGTGAGGGGCCGACAGACATGGAGAGTTTGGCTGAGGCGCTGCTCGCATCAACGTCCTAGCGAGATCTAGACTTTTCTTGAATCCATTTGTTGCAGTTGTGCAGCTAGAACCCTCGGGTTGACTTGCAACATGATCGCTTTGGCTGCAGTGAGCTAAAACCCACCACTGACCTGAAACACGGATCACACTGACCACAGTGATTGTGGCAACACCGTGCCCCGACACCCACCATCCGGCCCGCAGTTGTAGCCTGGGGTGGTGTCACCAACAAAGGAAAGCGCCTAGCACGCACACACATGCACCCGCGCGCGCACACACACACACACATGTACGCACGAGCACACACACACATGCACGCGCGCGCACACACAAACACGCGTGCGCACACACAGAAACGTGCACGCGCACATGCATGCACACACTGGCACACATACACAGACAATGGTATAGTATGTTCCTCGTCAAGCAGCCAGGTGCTCTGGCTTGGACCTCCAGCAGCGCTGGTTTCGCCCTCGCTACTTGTCGTCTTGCCCTCTCCAGTGCTGCCTGCAACAAAACATTCCCTTCCGTAAACTCTGGGTGGACCAGTTCTCGGTGTTGTGTTTACACCGTGCTCTGCTTTCATGGCATTCGTTGTTCGTATCAGCCACTAAGCTCCTGGTAGGTAGCCCCTTGTTGGCCTTAGGATGTGGCTCTGGGTTCACTACTACATGCACATCACTGTCAGTAAGTATAGATAAAGCAAAATCAGAGGCACTGGTCTTCTCCAGTGTTGCAAATGCTCAGGATCACATGCGTGCAATTGGTGTAGCACTTTCCATGATACCAGCCACACCATTTGCTCTTCCCTGAGCCCTTGTGCTGGCAGAGAAAATCCCAGACATGGTCGTCCTTCTCTCGAACAGCGCTGACGATGCGATGCCAACTTGTAGTCTCGATATTACTCGCTGCAGGCTTCTCGTTTCTACTAAATTGGGTGCTGTCACACAGACACAAATTCCAGCAATATTACTCCGCTGGGCTGTCATTTGCCACTTCGTTGCCGTCAGCTGCCCCATCTGGCACCTCGCTGCCACTAGAAACGTCTTCCTCCTCTTCCATTCTTGTCAAACAACATCAATGTACACGAAAGGAATAAACTTCAATAAAGTGATCACAAAACCCCAAATCCATATTGTCGTCAACGTCGTTATCTTCTAAAAAATAAATTATTTTTCCTCACTCCACCCGAAATCGTACTTTTGTGCTAACTCGTCCGATGCACACCTCACCACTCGCGTAAAAATATTTGTTCTCACGGTGGAATTTGGTCGAGAAAAGAAGCCCTCCCGAAGGTCTCTGGATCGGTTCTGGAACGTCCAACAAGCGAAAACGTATCCTTTGTGATGTCCTTGACCAACACTGTAAGCGGCGACTTGTCCCTCCGAGAGTGCAACGGCACTTGTGATTTTGAGTTTTGGCTCACGGACTATGGGGGTACCGGGTGGTCTGCAGAACAAATAATAGAGTCGAGTCGAGCGTAGCTAGGCATGCCTCCGGCTAGCATGGCTGGGTACGAGGTGATTCGTAATTTTTTAACATTGAGTCATTTCTTAACAAATCGGTAAAATATCTCATTGCAAGCACCTGCAAAAAGTCACTTCAAATTTCTTTTTGCCATTGCCATTGCCAATGTTCTGTCAAGTTCGCCTCCAAAATTGAGACTGATATTCCTTCTGGAAGTGACATTGCAAGAGCTTTCAGTCTGCATGTGCGCGATGTTTACGGTAAAATAGAGTATAAGAGAGTCATAGCCGCTGGTTTCAACCTCGAGTGACAACATATTTAGCTGAATAGGAAGCATATGATAGCTACATACTGGAAACGACGCCTGGGAAGGAGGAATGACAGTGTGTTGGCCCTAGTAATGGCCAAACATTGGCAATCACTGAATTTGCTAACAGATGTTGATCACAATTACACATGAAATCAGGGTGATACACCTGTTGCTATGTAAGCTTGAATGGCTTGTATTTGGATAAACATGATCTTGATCCTGTCTTGCTGGACCATCCTGGAGACGTAGGGTCTCCTTCTATTGAAAACTGACTTGAAATTGTGCTGCTAAGGCCTATTTTACCATGATGTTAAGAAATGACCACAACAAATAATATGCGGAAAAATTGCCATTTTTCAACTGCCACCTGCTTCCCAACACCAAGGATTATGTGAATGAGAATCCCAACATTGCAATCCAAGGACATCAGTATTACATTTTTAGAGGACGAAATGGAAAGATTCACACCTCGAACCCTACGGAAGGCTATTTTACTTTCGTGTTAAATAATGACGAATCACCTCGTACATTGGGGGCAGTTACAAGGATTACTAGAGCAGTGACAGCAACAGCAACAGCATGGTAATGCATGCAGCCTAGAGTAGAGGAGTGGAGTGGTAGAGGAGTGGTAAAGAGTAGAGGAGTGGTAAAAAGAGTAGAGGAGTGGTAAAAGGAGTGGTAAAGACAAAACTAGAAGTAATTTGAAGAAGAATATCACAAGGAATTAGGGCTGAAACGATCGTGGATTTTCAAGTATCAATTACTCTTTAGCTTAACGATCGAGTAATCGATTATAATCGTTAGCAAATAGAGTCATAGTTCTGCGCAAACATTACTCTGTTTCCACAAACTATGCCTTCATAATACCAACAAATCTGCATTAGTGAAAGGGTAGCTCCGAAACATGGCAGTTTTGAAGTCAATTATTTTAACCTCAGAACATGAACCATGCATACCCAAAAACGAGGGTTTACAGTACTTTCTTGACACAAATTAAAAAAACGTAAAAAATAATCGTAATCGGTAATCTAAACGATTGCTCGATCGTTAGAGTTATCAAACGAGTACTCGATTATTCGGTATAATCGTTTCAGCCCTACAAGGAATCTGTAAGAAAGCACACTAAACTATCTAGCCTAGATTGAGACACGGCTGGTGGATCACAACCGCGGACACAAGCAGCACACATGGGCCACATGTCCTTCTCGGAGGTTCCAGTTCTGACGTAACGCAAAGTCTGGACAATGTGAATGGACATAAACCTGGTGCGGACAAGTAGTTTAAGCAGCCAGACTAAAAATAAACGTACTTGTACTTTCAACAATCTCGGTACTGCGTTGCTAGAACGGCGGCATCTTTCACAGATGGACAGACACACGCACAGATGCATGCTCGCCCACGCACATGCACACACACACACACACAGTCGCGTGCACACACACACATACACAACCTAATAGTAGCTAGAGGGCACGCACTGTGCACCACGTAACGCTTAAAAAAAAATGAGACAAGGCAATGTCAGCGCTGGGCATCACATGGCCTGGGCACAGAGATCGTCCCAGTCGGCAAACCAGCGCTCACGCATACGCCGGCAGTGATCGAGCACATTCGGCAGTTCTGTCGTAATGAGGGTATTCATAGCGCTACCCTCAGCGCCATACACGAGCACCGAGGTGATACCGAAGACGGCGGCATCGTGTGACGTGGGTGCATCACCCAACAAGTATGATTTGTTGCCTAGAATCGTGGACAGGCTGCGCAGGTCTCTCTCGGCTATCTGGTTGATCTCGGCGACGCTGTGCCGACCCATGCCCTGCAAGTAGCATGACTTTGCCACGCTGGGTGCTACCAGGTAGCGCAGGAGCAGACGCAGAAAGAAGTTCGGCGACCGGGTCAACACATATGGCAGTCTGTCCAACTCCTGCACCCAGCGAAAGTGCACCAGCGCCCTGCAGTGCATGGAAAATGCAAGAACAAGCACGGGCCATGCAATAACATTAGCATATACACCTAGCCAACGTCACGTTGAGAGAGAGAGAGAGAGAGAGAGAGAGAGAGAGAGAGAGAGAGAGATAAAGAGAGAGAGACAGAGAGAGAGAGAGACAGAGAGAGAGAGAGAGAGAGAGAGAGAGAGAGAGAGAGAGAGACGTATTGCTCCTCGACATTCTCGACAGAATGTTTGAGTCAAAGTGGCCGAAGCAAGCTATTCTCGTTCTGACGCACTATGAAGGTGATGTTGGGAACGAACAGGAAGCTCTGGCTGCACGGTGTGATGGCGACGAGAGGACAACTGAAATTGTGAAGCGATTTAAATATGTTCTGCCGACTAACAATGGCACAAGCAAGACAATGGAACGTATTACAGGAGAGCACAGGAAACGCTGCTTCGAAGGGTTGGTAGCATGGATCCAGGCATTCGATACAACTATAACTATCTCACCGGCATCTATCGATGATCTTCTCTTGTATGTGTTGGCCAAATTGAAAGAACTCTTTGGGATCACATACTCCATCACATACTCCCAGGTCAAAGCAACTTATGATAAAAAATAAAATAAAAAACCAAACAAGGAGGCTGACATCAGACGACCCGAGAAAGTGCTGTACCTGTGGAGAATGCTGTATTTGCCTGGAAGATATACCTATCACGGTTATGGCAGCCATCGACTGTGGTCACCTGTACAATTCAGACTGCATCCGCTCGCACGTAGATGCTTGCAAGGCTCAAGACAAGGCACCCCTCTGTCCTCAATGCAGGCAGTCAATCAGTGTCCTCTACTTGTAGTGATTCCCATCACCAGCGCTTGCTCTTCTATTGTTGCACGTGTTCACGTGAAATTCTTTTAGGTTCTATTTGTTTTGTAGCTTCCGTGTTGCTGTAAAATGTTGAGACAATATGGCAAAAGGAAACAACAGTGTCTCTCTCCCTCTAGACTAGCCGCACCAAGCAGCACTGTGTTTAGATTCTCGCAAAAGTCCACCGTTCAAGCTCCTGGTCAATGTTAGCACCACGGTTCATCATTTGAGATTCTTGTCAGAAAAGCGTGGTTCTTCACTATGATGAGAATGTAACGCTCTTAATCGTCCAATGCATTCTCTCCTGTTTTCGTAGAAGGGCTGCTACCCAGCATTATTTCCTCTGCAATTCTAGTCAAAAGCAGAAGAGAGAGAGAGAGAGAGAGAGAGAGAGAGAGAGAGAGAGAGAGAGAGAGAGACAGAGAGAGAGAGAGAGAGAGAGAGAGAGAGAGAAAGAGAGAGAGAGAGAGAGACATAGAGAGAGACAGAGACAGAGAGAGAGACAGGGAGAGAGAGAGAGAGAGAGAGAGAGAGAGAGAGAGAGAGAGAGAGAGAGAGAGAGAGAGAGAGAGAGAGAGACAGAGACAGAGAGAGTTGCAGCAGGTCGAGAGAGTGTTCAATGCACCTAGGTGCTCTCTAATGATTGCCAACACGTGAAGCTCCGAGTAACTGGGATAACGTTTTGTTTCCCTTCTCTATACCTGTCTAGCCAAGGCCATGTGATGCACATCGTATCTTGTAAAGCACGTAAAGCGATGCTTCAGTATAGCACACCTCTACGCCTGAAATGAAATTACACTCGGACGTCTCTTATCCGGGGCGCCTTAGGACCGGGCACTGCCTGTATCTCAGATTTGCCCGCATCTCAGAACAGCTCATCTACCATGTACCATATCAGTTTTTGAAGAAGTTTACTTGGCACGTATTGCACATGTTCTGGATAATAACAACTAAAAAGAATCATGAAAATGTGTGGATTGTACAGGTTGGCAGTGACAAATAAGAACTTGCGCACACGGAAAAAAAGTTCAACCTCCCCCAAATTTGAAACATTTTGCCATAGAAACTGCAGTTGAAGGTGCCCGGTAGAGAGACGTGCCCGTATCCGAAGCGTCCGGATGTAGTACTTTGTACCCAGGTTCTGAATATCCAAGGTCCAATACTGTAAAAGCCATTATTCTAACGAGGTGCATATATAACGATTTCCCAAAATTGACTAGTTAACGTGTACCAAAGGTAACGATTTTCACTCATTCTCAACGCTCAATAGGACAGTATATGTATCGATTTCTGTATAACGATTTCTATTTTAACGACAGATTTCTCCTCGTTAACTCGTTAGAGTTAGCACTTCGTTATATATATATGGCTTTTACAGGAACTGGAAAAGTACAACTGATGAGTCCACAGAGGATGAAACAGTTCTGTCCGCAGATTGAGTACAGTGCCTTCGAAAAGTGTTTTACATCCTAGGCAAAGAGAACAGTACTGTTATATCAAGCATACTATACACTGCAGTTTCACTGTATATTAGTGCAGAAGTGTGCAGCCAGATTTCCAAAGAATAAAGCTGTTGATGCGTTATTTTCTTCTGACAATTATTATCAATTATTTCAGGACGTCGAATGTCTCAGTACTCTTGTCAGTTTTGTGCCTAGTTATTGCACTTTCTGACTGTATATAGTATCCAATTACAGTGATGGAGAGTTACTCTTAACTCGTATCCATATGTCCTTTTCCTTTCCACAATTATTATGTTCTTTCTTTTTTCGTTTTCCTTCTCTTGCCCTGGCTGGCTAACGCCCCCTCCTTTGCATTAGCTTCTGCCATTGGACGGTGAAATAAAATAAAAAAGAACGTGCCAGGCTGATCCTTGGACACAACATTAGCGGACGCCTAGCTCTAGTGCAAAGCCAAACTAACCGTACTTTCACAGTTTGCGAAGTATTAGTCATGGATGCAACCGCGCCCCTTACGCAAATCTCAGCGCACGCACAGTTGTATAGGATATTATCGCCTTCTTAGAACTTTCGTAACAGACCTCGGGGGACCTCGCTCTTTTACTCGGTCTATATTCTGTATAGACCTCCTAACCGGTCTATATTAAATAAAAAATAAATAAATTCGACGGGTTCGCGTACTGGGCAGGTCAAGAACAAGGAGTCGTACAACTCCCTGGTCAAGAACCACCTTTCCGCTTCCGTGGGACGCCACCACCCCATGATCAGGCGTCAGATGCGGCTCCTAAACGGTGGGGGAGGATAGATCAGATCCACCAACCAGAGGCCAAAGGCCTAAATCCCATTTGCCACATCCATGTATTACTCATGCCAGGCCACGAGTTCCCAATTAACTGTGGGTCGCAGCACGGTAGGAAAAATCCTTCCGCTTCCAAGCAGGACTTGAACCTGGTATCTCTCGTTTCTCAATCATGGTCTTAGACCAACCCACTGTGCCTGCCTGCATTATTTATTATTATTATTTTAAATCCATACATATAAATTTTATTAACATTGATTGTTACCTTTTGCGTTTGGTTCAGAGCGGGTTTTTTTGCCGCGTTCTTTTAGACTGGTGCGGACAACGTCAATGCATGAACTACATTGGAGAATTGGAAACGCTTCCAATTGGTTCTACTTTATTTCAAAATTATTATCACTGGTACTTCTTGTCATCCAACTAATTACTTACCAGTAGGTGTTCTCCTCCAGCATCTGGCAAGTCACGTGACCCACTGCTCTCTGAGACTCATCCAAATCACTGTCACACTTCAGCTGCAGCTCTTTGATCAGAAAATCTACTATGAAATCCGAATCACTGATCACCTGTCCGTTGTAGGCGATGTAGGGCATTTTATCCTTTGGTCCCATCTGTTGAGTAGTAATCGCCTTGTATTTGATGCCGTTCATTCGTAGGAAAGTCTCCATTTTGACGCAGAATGATGACGGGTCTGGTCCTGACGGAACTCGTCCGAAATGGAACAAATAGACGACATCCTTCTCCTTGTAGTCGTCACTCAGTACAAACGGTTTCTTTGATCCCTTGCGGAACAGAAGAGCACCAGCCAAAAGCACAACAGCACCACCACCCACTGCTACTGGCAGCCAAGAAGGACCGCTTTTGAAGAAATCCATCGCATTCGAACGCCAACGGAAATACTCTAGTCTAAGGAATGGCCTTTTCTTTTTGTCTTCCAGTACTCAGTAGTACACTAGTAGATCGATCGATCGATCAATCAATCAATCAATCAAAACTGCAAACAATCACAAACAAGGTTTTTTAAACTTTTTTTCTTCAAGAAGCCCTCCTTGCACGGATGTAGCGCCCGCAAGACCGTCCGCACGTGCAGGCAGTGCTGCCAGAGCCAGACACATGTGTCGACATGTCCCAGGATCGGTTGACCCAGACAGAGACAGATTCTGCTCCGCTAGCCTCGATATTTTGCCGAGCCTGGCACAAGAAACTCGATATTTTGCTCCTGAAAAACGTGCATTTTATCCGCTTCCCGTACAGCACTAGTCCCGTGCAGCGTTTCACAAAAATCGCAGGGTCGGTTTCTCAACACGGGTTTCCACGCACGTGTCCCTGAGTTCTTCCAAAATCATGTCGATCCACAGTGAATCCCGGTGATATTTCGGTGACATGATCTCGTCCTGGCAGTGTATCCTGCTTAACGGGTAAGAAACAAGGACATCCAAGTATCAGGCATCGAATTTACCCAACATCTCGATATTTTGCTCCGATTTTGCCGGCAATTTCCGCTCTTTCAATTCTTCGATATTTTGCCGAAAGAATTGCCGGCAGGATCTGTCTGGGCCTAGTCCCAGGCCGGGGCGTCGGAAGGTAATTTTAAGTGTGGTGCGGTCAGCCATTTGAAGTACAATTCACTCGTGTGGGAGGGATGGCTGATCCGAATTTTTTGGGAAATTAGAGCCCAAATCAGTGCATTTTATTGATTCACAGGGTACTAGTACTTGGGGCAAATAGTGGTACGGTCAATACCGTAGTGACCATATACGCGTACCGTGTCCGACGCCCCTGTGTCCTGCACGTGGGCACACGTGATTGTCGCCTTGGAGTCAACCAATGACAGATCAAACTGTGCGGGCTGGAAAGCGCGGTTCTGCCTGCTCAAGAGTGGATCCACCAACAATGCAAGGTCCAATCAAACGCATACCGCTTTCTTCGATTGTGTAGTACTGGTGCAAACTCTTCCAGTATGATGCCCCGGTCGATACGCCTGTCGGCAGTGCCGTGCAGGGGTACACCCGCCTTTACTGTGTAGGTTTGTGCACTATTTGAATCTGTTCAATTCCAGCACCCCACCCTCAAGTGCAATTGGTTTGGCAAATGGCAGGTCCCGGGAGCAACCAGTTGCCTAGGCGCCACAAGCCACGGATGAGCGGCTTCAGTGACAAGCCAAGCACAAGGCCGGTGGGGTCATTGCAATCCAGAGTGTATTTTCTGGCATCTTCAGCATGCACAGCTACTACTACTAGCACCTAACAGCATGTTCGTACCCATCCCCCGACTAAAGGTCCACACAAACCACCACGAACAACAAAAATCAGCAATACTGGCAAAGAAGGAAAACAGTGACAAGCAAAGGGCTTACACCGACAGTTCAGTGCCCAGAATGACTACTGAGTGCGTGATCATACATAATACATGACGCATGCATCCTGACATGTCTGAAAGTTGCAACGTCTGACCCGACCGACACGGGCATAAGGAGCAGGACCAGCCTATAAGATGCAGTTAGTTCTCTGTGTTCTCTCTTTCTACTCCTTTCCGCGTTCATATCTGCACGAAGAAAAAACAAAACATATCTTTAATATCAATAACAATCCTCAGCCCCCCCCCCCCCCCCCCCCGCGAACCTCAGTCTGTCTTCAAGATTAGAGTGAATTCTGTTAGGCCACACGTTTTTATTTCTATGGTTCTCGTCACCCGCGCGCATACGATTCAGGAGTCTGGAAGAAAAAAACTGTGCTGCACTGACTGTGCATGTGGGTACGAGCACACTCATTCACATGTAAATATATGGCCTGGCCTGCGCGACACATGATGCGAGGTCGGCATTTTTTGTGCGCAATCTAGCTGCACATGCACAGATTGTGACAGAAGTTCCTACCACATACTAGTTGCCAACTATGGATGCTATTTTGCATGGTGTATTGGAGGATTTCAGTGTGAACAAAGGTCTAGGGCATGATCGATTGGGCGAATCCCGAGCAAGTGTTCTCCGAGTGAGCGTGATCGTTTGGTCGAATCCGATCGAATCCGGAGTAGGTGTACTTGGAGTGGAATCCGACCACACCGGCCCCCACATAGGGAGTGGCTGGAGTGGAAATGGACTTTGCCATTTTTGGACAGCTTTCCTAGAATCTTTTGTACGATATGCGTACATTTTGCGTACTACAGCCTTGGGCCAGCGGTGCCCGGACCACACCGCCTGCTCGCACTCAATCCAGATTCGCCAATCGATGACACCCCTAGTAAACCTTTTTTTTTCGGTCGTTTTTTATTTTTTTCCACCTCTCGCATACGTTTTTAGATTTTCAGGTGACGAGAAACATAGAAATAAAAACGTGTGGCCTTAGAGAATAACAAAGAGATAACGAAGTGAAAGGCAAGCTATGTGCCTCATGTAGCCTCATTTTGACATTTCGACTTGGACACTTATTATATTTCGGTAGATTCAGTGCTGATGCAAATCTTGATTTACCACTCTTCTCTACAAAGTAGTTATATAACAGATGGCCAATGGCTTTTAAGAGCTCCTAACTGCAGCAGCAGTTCCTGGTGATATAATAATAGGTTCTGCCTAAGGCGTAGTTCGAGCACAGAGGGCAAGTAAGATAATAATAAGCAACTATAACGTAATTGGAAAATTGATCATCTGCAAAAATAGCAAAGTGAGTGTTCAAAAGGTTACGTCTATGATGGAGAAGTCAGTCAAGTCAACTTACAGCAAAGCTTCAGAGACTGCGACCTAATGCAAGAACTTGGAGATAGATAGATAGATAGATAGATAGTGTGTGTGTGTGTGTGTGTGAGAGAGAGAGAGTGGGAGAGAGAGAGAGAGACAGACAGACAGACAGACAGACAGACAGACACACACACACAGAAACACGATTCCACAAGTAAAAAAAAAGAATGGAGTTTTATTTTCGGTAACTTCGGTACCGGCAATTTTTACCTGAAATAAAACGTGACCTAAAATTTCAACAACGCCATGCCACACAGTGTGCAAAATGCATTTTTGGACAAGGAAAACTCGTTTACCGAAATTTTCACGCTACCGAACCGTGATTTTGGGAAATATTGAAAATATCACAACACCCAAAATTCCCGGTTTTACAGTATAACAACACTGCATGAACCAGTGCTACAGCCAGAGGGTACTGTTATGTAGTGTAGTTATTATATTACGACTACATGTTCACATGTCATATTGCGCATGCGTAAGGAAAACATGGTCTTTCTTCTTGGGGAACTTGAAGAGTACTTTGTGTGAGCGTAGACACAACAGATACATAGTGAGGTACTGGGCAGACTGGCTTAGCCGAGTTACACCCTCTTGATAATGTACTCTTTGATACGACGTCATGAACACCTCAGAAACATACCTTGCAAATAGACGTTTGTCCGCAACTGAAGAAGGTTGCAGCTTGCAATAACTGCTCGAACAGTCTTAGGAGTTGAGAGCAAATGACAGCGCCAGTTGTCCGCATGCCAGGAACAGATCACACATCACAGATCGGTGGAGGTAAGTGCCACGCTACTTCGTAACAACACCAGCACTAGCCGAGTTGTACACCCACTCCGACCAGTAGAGGCAGCCATGATAAGTTATCAGCAGAGGCATTGCCACAGCCGTGATACCTGCTGAGCATCACCACAGCTGGCTGTACTACACTCCGACCAGCAGAGGCAGCCGTGATACCTGATAAGCAAATTCAGCCGTGATACCAGCTAAGCAGAGGCAGCCGTGACACCAGCTAAGCAGAGGCAGCCGTGATACCAGCTAAGCAGAGGCAGCCGTGACACTAGCTAAGCAGAGGCAGCCGTGATACCAGCTAAGCAGAGGCAGCCGTGACACCAGCTAAGCAGAGGCAGCCGTGACACCAGCTAAGCAGAGGCAGCCGTGATACCAGCTAATCAGAGGCAGCCGTGACACCAGCTAAGCAGATGCAGCCGTGATACCAGCTAAGCAGAGACAGCCGTGACACCAGCTAAGCAGAGGCAGCCGTGATACCAGCTAAGCAGAGGCAGCCGTGATACCAGCTAAGCAGAGGCAGCCGTGACACCAGCTAAGCAGAGGCAGCCGTGATACCAGCTAAGCAGAGGCAGCCGTGACACCAGCTAAGCAGAGGCAGCTGTGACACCAGCTAAGCAGAGGCAGCCGTGATACCAGCTAAGCAGAGGCAGCCGTGACACCAGCTAAGCAGAGGCAGCCGTGACACCAGCTAAGCAGAGGCAGCCGTGATACCAGCTAATCAGAGGCAGCCGTGATACCAGCTAAGCAGATGCAGCCGTGACACCAGCTAAGCAGAGGCAGCCGTGATACCAGCTAAGCAGAGGCAGCCGTGACACCAGCTAAGCAGAGGCAGCCGTGATACCAGCTAAGCAGAGGCAGCCGTGATACCAGCTAAGCAGAGGCAGCCGTGACACCAGCTAAGCAGAGGCAGCCGTGATACCAGCTAAGCAGAGGCAGCCGTGATACCAGCTAAGCAGAGGCAGCCGTGATACCAGCTAAGCAGAGGCAGCCGTGACACCAGCTAAGCAAAGGCAGCCGTTATACCAGCTAAGCAGAGGCAGCCGTGACACCAGCTAAGCAGAGGCAGTCGTGACACCAGCTAAGCAGAGGCAGCCGTGATACCAGCTAAGCAGATGCAGCCGTGACACCAGCTAAGCAGATGCAGCCGTGACACCAGCTAAGCAGAGGCAGCCGTGATACCAGCTAAGCAGAGGCAGCCGTGATACCAGCTAAGCAGAGGCAGCCGTGACACCTGATAAGCAAAGTCAGCCGTGACACCTGCTAAGCATTGCCACAGCTAGCTGTACTATAATTCCGACCAGCGGAGGCAGCCGTCATACCAGCTAGTCAGAGGCAGCTGTGACACTGAAACAGTATCGCCACAGCTGGCAGCACTAGTGGTATCTCGAGATACAACACGCGATCAGTGCTGGAACCTGGTGTGACGCAGCTTGCTGTGAACAGCACAGGGGCAGCCGAGATACCAGGACAGTATCGGCCCAGCTGTCAGCACTAGAAGTATGACGAGGTACAACACGTGATCACTGCTGAAACTGGGTGCGGCGCAGCTTGATCTGAGCAGCAATCAGCTTCTCGGAGATATCCTCACCGATAGCCAAGCGTGGTATGTGCCAGATGTTGCCCACCTCAGGGACCGCCATGGGAGCTATGCCGGCATTCAGGTACTCCATACCGGCCCAGGCAATCATAACACCGTTGTCCGTGCACAGACGCGGCTCGGGTGCCACCAGCGAGAGCGGGAGCTCATGCCGCTGGATGGCCTTCAGGACGAGTTCTCGCAGCAGGCTGTTGGACGCAACACCTCCGCTGATCACGATGTGCCGCGCGGCGGGGTACTCCCCGAGCGTGAAGAGCATCGCCCGCTCGGCCAGGTGCGATATGTACAGCATCATACTGTTCTGTAAGCTGGCGGCGACGTCGGCATAGCCTTGCACCGGCAGGCTCTCGTCCCCATCCTTGTCCAGGTCGACCAGTATACTCTTTGCCTTGTCAGGAAAAAAAGAGAATTTGCTTTGGCAATGGCGTCTTGGCTGGGGCCAGCTGAACTTGTACTTTTGAGGATTGCCCTGCTTTGCTGCCATCTCGATAGCAGCGCCGGGTACTAGGTGCTCCAGGTCGGGGTTCTTGTGCAGTCGCAGCAGGTAGGCGACCTTGTCCAGAACGCTGCCCGGGTTTTGCTTCTGAACTCTGCTGCCCAGAACCTGCGCACGACATACACATACAGACAGAGTAATGCGGACGCACGCACGCACGTGCGAAATGCACATACAAGCACACGCTCACACATCACCGCATGCACAGACAAACGGGAACACACACGCACACACACACACACAAACGTATACACGCACACACACACACACACACACACAAACGTATACACGCACACACGTACACACAGCAGTACACCGTAGTGTAAATACAAAATACACACAGGAAAACCTCTCAAGGTGACCACCACTCTGATAACAGCGGTGCCCGTTGAAATCCAACCCTTCGATCACAGCTTTACAAGCTTCCAGCTGTTCAATTTCATCTGGCACCACTACATGCGCAAGCAGGGGCGTCGGAAGGTAATTTAGTGTGGTACGGTCAGCCATCTGAAGTACAATTTACTCGTGGGGGAAGGGTGCCTGAGCCGAAAATTTTGGAAATTTAGAGCCCAAATCAGTGCATTTTATAATTTTTATTGAATCACGGGGTACTTGGGGCAGATAGTGGTACGGTCAATACCGTAGTGACCGTACCGTGTGCAACGCCCCTGGCAACGTTGGTGCACGGCAAAATCCAACCCTTGTATCACAGCTTTACACGATTCAAGTGGATGAATGGGACGTGTGCCTCAATTTCCCGACATTCGGTTTTTGGGAGCAAATCTGGAGAGCACCGGTATTCTCAAAAACGCACTGCAGAGTGAGAAAAAAATTGCGATACCGTATTTTCCCGAATATTAAGCGGGATTCACAGAAGCTTTTTTGCGATGCGACACGCGATGCGACGCGATCTGCGACGGACGCGTGCGATGCGAGCTCGCGAAATACCATTCACAGAAGAAGTCAGTGATGCGACAACATCTTGCTGATTTGGCTACGTCACCATGATATTTGCGCGGTTTCATACAACTTGTACAAATTTATAGGCAACTCTTGAACCTTTGTACAACTTTGCTGTAGAAAAGGTCAAAATCGTACGCCAAATCGCTTGTCGCATCGCAAAAGTTGAGCCAAGCTCAACTTCTGCGATGGCCTGCGATGGCCCTGTTGCGGCAGTTGCGTGGGGTCCGCGATGGTTACGATTTGGGGATTTCCCGGGTTCGCGGCTGTCGCATCTCGTGTCGCATCGCAAAAAAGCTTCTGTGAATCCCGCTTAAGGCGCACCTTTTTAACCCTTTCCATGCCGGGGCCCCTTTTCTCCAATCGGCCGGCTGTCCAGTGCACTGACTCTCTTGGTGTAGTTTGCGCGCACAGCTCTGAATGGAATTTATTCTCATTTCACTCCACCATGATGGATTTTCATCATCCTGGGCTCGTTGGAAAGATCAGGACCAAGCGAATCCATCATGGTAGATCTCAGCAACATAGACACACCAGGGCCACTTCCACCTCCTCTCCGAACTACTCCACCGTGCCTCGGAACGGCACAACAACTCAATCTCACGTTCTTGTTCGGCATCTTGCCCAGCTCCAACCGGTTTTCACGATTCGAACTGCGCTGCAAAGCTGAGATCCAAGCGCTTCATTTGATGTCCATCACGCATGCGTCGTGCCAAAGGGAAATCCCCTAGCACGCTCCAAAAAAACTGCGAAGTCATGAACAAAAAAATTCGTGTTCGATCCGGCCCGTGATTTTGGTGTTCATCCTGTTGCCGCTCAGTGATTCTTTATCCCATCGCGATGAACGTTATATCCACGGAAAGATGAGCTCAAGACCTTTCCAAAGGTGTATTGATTGTCGCGATGCGGTTATGTTTCACAGAGTTACGATAGTTTGTACACTGGTCTATGCACTGAACAAAAAAATTCGTGTTCGCTCCGGCCCGTGATTTTGGTGTTCATACTGTCGCCGCTCAGTGATTCTTTATCCCATCGCGACGAACGTTATATCCACGAAAAGATGAGCTCAAGACCTTTCCAACGGTGTATTGATTGTTGCGATGCGTTTATGTTTCACAGAGTTACGATAGTTTGTACACTGGTCTATGCACTGAACAAAAAAATTCGTGTTCGCTCCGGCCCGTGATTTTGGTGTTCATCCTGTCGCCGCTCAGTGATTCTTTATCCCATCTTGACGAAAGTTATATCCACGGAAAGATGAGCTCAAGACCTTTCCAACGGTGTATTGATTGTCGCGATGCGTTTATGTTTCACAGAGTTACAATAGTTTGTACACTGGTCTATGCACTGCAATGTAACGTGCGCACTACTACTAGTACGAGGACGAGATATCTCGTCCTTGGCCAATCGCGTGGGGGTCTGTAGGACGAGTTATCTCGTCCTTGGCACTGAAAGGGTTAAACTAAACTTCAAGCCAACAAAGCATTACTACTGAAGTGAATATAATCGAAACGATATGACATGGACCTGAAAATGGGGATGCGACTTACAATCGAGTGTGACTTAAAATTGGGGAAATACGGTACACAGAGCTCTGGACGAACACATGCATTCGACTTCACCTTTAGTGTGCTGACGTCCTCCACGACGGCAAACGTACAATGTCCGCCGGACACGAGGCAGACCAGGTACGGGAACTCCAGATCGTGCGCGTCCGCGGACAGACGTGCGGTGAGCGCGTGTGCGTGCATGTGATGCACGGGAATGAGCGGCACGCCGCTGCTACGGGCCATCTCGGCCGCGTACTCACACCCGGCCTCCAGGCACGGCGACAGGCCCGGGCCCAGCGTGAAGGCGACGGCCGACAGGTCCCCGACTTCCTTGCCGGCTTGCCGCATCGCCTCGGCAACCACCGGCGGCAGATTCTCGCGATGATAGCAGCCGGCACGCTCCGGCCATATGCCGCCGAACTCGCGGTGGGCGCGAAACTGCGACAGGCGGCTCTCTCCCAGCACGCGTCCCGTGCGGTCAATCACGGCCGCGGCGCTGTCATCCGCACTGGTCTCGATTCCCAACAGCACCGTATTCTCCGTCACGGGCAGCGGATCGCCGCGAGGTCCATTGTAGAAGCACCTAGCCGACTGTGGACGCACGTCAGGTTTAATAGTGGACAGGCACGTACGAGAATGCCGCGCAGTGCGCAGGAGCATCAATGACATGCTCTCGCTCTCTCTCTCTCTCTCTCTCTCTCTCTCTCTCTCTCTCTCTCTCTCTCTCTCTCTCTCTCTCTCTCTCTCTCTCATTCAAACCCTGCTACGTACATCTGCTGCGTGCACCCTTCTGAGAAGCTGTAGAGTTCTGGGAATACTGCGTAATCTATATCCGAGGCCGAATCATGAAGGCTTCGTCAGGTCGTCAAGTGGTGCACGCATAGCGCTGGCAGTATATGAACACCGGCAGTTGTATTTGCTCTCTTCTCCTGGGTAGTATGGACAGAGTGAGTGGGCACCTGTAGACCAGAGTTCCCGGCACTATCAGTCAGTGATAATGTAGAGCGCAAATGCCAGATTTCAAGCGCAGGCTCTGCGAGTTTCTCCAGCGAGAGCGCTCAGGCTAGCTGCCTTCTATGGCTGGCATACACTATACTTGTCCACCTTGGAAATCTGGAGTACTGCTCACCAACAGAAAGACGAGCTAGAGTAGAGCCCATTTTACCAAACGAAATTTGACGACTCCCGATCCCTGTGTGTGACACATGAATAAATGTTCGAATTTCGTCAAAATAATAATTATTATTGAACAGAGAGACGGCGTCGTCATCTTCACCCGGTTTGTGCACGTGGGCTGCGTCATCAGGGTTTCAGTGTACTTTTCTTTTCTTTTCTTTGTTTTAGAGGGGAAGTTAAGGCAAAAATTAAAATTTCACCAGTTGTAGTCATCGGGGTGCTGAGTCGAATGGTCTTGGTCCGAGAAAGCTGAGACGCTCCCTTCCTACTTGAATCCCAATCGAACTCGCGCACTTCCACCGAAACTGGGTGACTGCGCCCTACGAGATGGGGATTTGTATGCAAAATGTCACTAAAACTAGTAAAAGCGCCATTTCGTTCTTATAAAAGCACGGATGACCGCGATTGGCCCATATGTTGTAGTCTTTTGGACGCTGAGTCGACTGGTTTTGGTCCGAAAAGGCTGCGATGCAGCGTTCGCCCCTAATTCCCAATCGAACATGGTTGAACAAGCGGTCACGTGCTCCTGCGTACACCAGTCAGCTGGTCACCGTGCCTGCAGGGTACAAATTACAGCCTGTTTTGACCTTTTTTGGGTGCAGTCCTGTCACTCGAGTTGAACCTTGGTGTGAAAGTTGTCGCCTGCTGGCGTGGTGACCAGGTGATTTTGGCACCCAGGAGCACGTGACCGCTTCTTCAACCATGTTCGATTGGGAATAAAGGAGGAACGCTGCATCGCAGCCTTTTCGGACCAAAACCAGTCGACTCAGCGTCCAAAAGACTACAACATATGGGCCAATCGCGGTCATCTGTGCTTTTATAAGAACGAAATGGCGCTTTTAGTGACATTTTGCATACAAATCCCCATCTCGTAGGGCGCAGTCACCCAGTTTCGGTGGAAGTGCGCGAGTTCGATTGGGATTCAAGTAGGAAGGGAGCGTCTCAGCTTTCTCGGACCAAGACCATTCGACTCAGCACCCCGAAGACTACAACTGGTGAAATTTTGATTTTTGCCTTAACTTCCCCTTTAATATAGGATGTTTTTTTTTAGATGGTCCATGTATTTTTGTAGCGTTATAAATATAATGCGTAGCATGGTGATTCCACGTGGTGTCGACATGTCTGATCTCGATCTCGATCGATCTCTAGCTCTAAAAAAACAGAACATTTTAATATTATTGAGAGCGTATACAGGAAGGCAAGACTTGCCAAGAGTACATAAACTCTTGAGGAAGGCCATAATAAGAGATGATCATGCAAAATGAAGAAAAGAAAGGAAATGATTGTTGTTGTTAAATAAAGCCAAACAACAACAACACAACAATGATAACACCCAAAAGCGCTCAAAACATACCATTTGTAGGAGCGAATGCAAGCCTCAACAACAGCCAAAACAGGTGGCGAGTCCATCTGCATTCTGAGGTTACGGCATCTGCAGAGACATATAACGTTGGAGCGGAACAGTGCGAAGGAGAGCTTACACCTCAGCCAGGACATCAAGCAGCTGTACGGGTCACCGGTTTTGGATGACAGCAGCAGTGCGATACGCTTGTACAGAGCCTCCGCGTGCTTGCCCATGCCGCCAGTGGTCGAAAAAAAAAAAATTGCGGGGACAAAATGACGAGTGCTCAATCTCGCGAATGTGCTGCTCATTACTCCTTCTCTTCTCCTTCTCATGCTTTGTGTAGCAGGAAGGAATTGAGGTGGCACAGTTTGATGGCGCATGTGGGTTAAAAACTCGCACATCGATGTAGGTGCACTCAAACCGGCCACCCCATAGGCCACTTTCAGCGACATCCAGACGTGCTTGATCGGTGCGGATGGCCGTCCGATAGCGAAACTGCTCTCCGGTCACATGCTGCAGATGCGGTTCCACTGCAATGCTATGGGCCACACGCTTCAGCAAGTTAGCAGAGATGTCGCGGACCTCGTTGTGTCTAATGGAGGGGAAGCCTCCAGTCGGACACGACAGGGCATGGCCCACAGTAAATGTGGCACAACAACTGCAGGTGGAGGGTAGGTGCTGCGGCAACCAGCCATACCGCAAGTGAATCCCGTCATGAAACTCACCCTTGGTGAGGGTAAATCCATGTCGCTTCAATGGCCGACACGTGAGCCATGAGGATGCACCCTTCTCACTCGCAAGCTTCACCATACGGTCCATGCTGGGGTTCGCCAAGACGAAAGACCGAGCTTCTCCGACGATCTTCGGCCGGGCACTCAATCGAACCTTCTTCTTTTCTTCCGCAATGAGGTCCGGCGCATTGCCCAGCTCGAACTCCTGGCGCAGGATGTTTGCCACGAGAGATTCCGTGATGGCCACAGAGGCGCGGAATTGATGACCAAGGGATGTTGGATTGCGGATGCCGAGATCACCTTCTCTGCAGGGCAACACCATCAGCTGAAGCTCCTCTGGGCTGACTGGCCTGTCACAAAGCTGAGGTATCAGGGTGTTGTAGATCAAGCCCTCAAGGGGTGCCAGCGCTGGAGGGGCTGCTTGTACTTGTAGTACACGACACAGAAACTGTCATTTGCTTTGCAAGCCCTGAGTGAAGGCTGAGTACGCACTCTGAGGCTCAGAGCGTGGAAACATAGAGAGTGTGTTCACCTCTCGCTCACAAGCGACCACTTTCGCTTCAAGACAGGACCTGATGAACTGGTCTGTGCCAATTGCAGAACCGAGGTAACGGTGGCCTTCAGCAGTGATCTGGACCCCAGTGCCAGCGAAGATCCGCACTGCCTCCTCGTAGTGCTCGGGCTTCGTCACAAGGACGGATTTCTTCGCATTCAGGAAATACCCATACTACGGACCTCTTGAGCGCAAGGCATCCCACCAGAGGCGCAGTTTCACGAGCTGCCCACCAGCAGACGAGTCATCAGCAAACCATAACTGATTAGTAGGGCTGTGTTTTTTAGTATAAAAAAAAAAAAAAAAAAAAACACGCACCCTCTGTGGCGATAGAGCGGATGAGAGGAACTACACCAATTGCATAATTATAGTTTCAGTGTACTAGTGTGTATACTGTACATCCAGCAGTGAGTTTTGCATTGTCGTAAGTAATGCACGATGGTTTCAAAATTCTACATAGGGAAGTATCAACATCATTCGACTTGCTGAAGTCAGTGAAGATCTCAAGATTGCAGTCCTGCAAGTCAGCGTTAAAGTGCTCCCAGTTTATCCTCCACACTCGCCTCTTTCGAGATGGGACTCTTTCGGACTGCCGGATGGCGACGATTATGTTGGCCGCAAATGCGTAGTGGTCGTCGATGTCACACTCGATGACCGTGCATGTTCCAACTAGAGATTGAGGGGCGGGGAGCAGATCTAGTATTAGGGTGGAACTCAATGCCGTCACTCTTGTGGGTGTCTGGACGTGGTTTTCCAGATCAAACCGCTGAAGCATGGTGTGCATCCGGCTGCCTCCCGAGCACAAGTCAGAATCGAAGTCACCTATGGCGATCACGCTGTTGTTACTTCGCTAGTTTAGAATGTTCAGACTGATTTCTTGGTCTCGCCTTACTGCAGCAGAAGTGGAAGGTGAAAGGTAGAACGTAGCGAGGGTGATGGGTTCACCAGATTCTGTCTTCAAGGTGAGGATCAGATTTTCGATTGTGTCACTCTCGAGTTCAGCGTGTCTGGCAACAGCCAGGGTATCTCGACTATATACAGCTATACCGCACCTGGTCTGTGTCCGCGATCGCGCCTGAAGAGTCTATAATGAAGTATATGATTGGATGAGTCAGAAAACGTACTATCAAGTCAAGTTTCAGCAATGCCGAAGATGTCTACATTGTGGTAGTTCAGAGAGTTTTGATTTCTCCTAACTTCTTTCTAAGGTTTTACTCCTTTGCCAGTTTTGTGCCATTTTGTCGCACTCGCTGCCATGTATAAGATCTGGTTACGTTGGTGGACAGTTAGTCATAACTCGTAACATGTTGTCCTCCTTTTTCTCACCACTTCTTTCTAAGGCTGCATACATTAATTTTAGAAAAACAATTTTACAAGACTTCCTTCGACCTACCGAGTACAGTAGTTGCATATAATTGTAGATTCATTTGATCGATCTACATGTATCAGGTAGACCTAGAATCTAGAAACTAATCCAAAAGTAGCAGGTTTTTCATTTTGACCCGACGAGACCATACGACGCTTGCAGATCACAGCACGAACAGTTAACCAGCCACACTCCACGAAAGCAAGTAGTAGTACTAGTACTCCTGACAAGTCTTGTTTTGTTCCATAGAGATAATAACGGGGAACTCATCAGAGGAGAAGCAGTTGTTGAATGAAGGGGTTTAGCTGAATAATGCTATTTTATAGAAAAGATATTGGCACACTGAGGTGTAAACACTCAACTAACTCACATATGTGACATATCAACACAAAAGGAATAGTGCAGAATGGAGGTGTTCTGAACCCTACCAGACACAACTATCACAAGTGCTAAATCATTCACAATGAGAAGGAGAGGTACACATGAATAGGTTGCGCTAGTTTACACGTCACAAATGGTACTGAGGTAGTGACAAAGATACGTGAAAAGTAGACGCCAAGTGAAAGCCAACAAATCATCACGAACGTCTAACGTCATATCTGAAGATTGCTAGCGGCACAAGACAAAATACTTCACAAACCTCGATAATTGAAATTCAGCCAGCGGTATAGTGAAAGGAAGGCTGCTGGGTGTGACATAGAACTGTGGGCTGCTGAGACGACGTATCCATCCTGATCTTGACTGCAAGGTTGGCGTCTAACGCTAAAATCCGAGCAGCAGATCAAATCCTTCCTCTGGTCAATGGCAGATTTCCTGGTCCAGGAGAAGTCATAATTCTTTGTGCCATCTTCAATAGGTCCGTCAAATACAGTAGTAGCAGGTTTTTCATTTTGACCCGACGAGACCATACGACGCTTGCAGATCACAGCACGAACAGTTAACCAGCCACACTCCGCGAAAGCAAGTAGTACTCCTGACAAGTCTTGTTTCGTTCCATAGAGATAATAACGGGGAAC